CCGCCCTTTCCCCCTGCCTTTTTTCGTTCATACAGTATGTTGAAGCTCCGTTTGCAAGTAGAAGCAAAATTCTGCAAACGGAGCTGTTCGTAAGTGGATTGTTCATAGGTAGAGACGTTCGTAAGTAGAGGTTCCACTGTACTGCTAACACTTTGAGGGCACCAGTTTTGTGGTACCTGGTTCAAAACATTGCATTGGTGAAATATCACTTATACTGGGAACTCTGCTATGTGTAGATTTTCATAGGATTTGGGTTTGAATTTCCAACAAGGAATAACAATGGATGCAAAGTTTTCTGACTCAGTCTTAGTGCATGCCTGGAAGTTGAAACCTGTGTAGGCTCTACCACCTGAGCATCCATCCATCCATACCTGTAACACTGTTTGTACCTGTTACGCAAATGGGAAATTTTCAGTGACAAGAATGAAGAGAAAATTAAGATTTCAGATCCATGCCTCTTGGGTAGGACTAGTTTTTAGCAGAACATGTGTGATCCTGGAATTTGTTTCTTGCTAAAAACTTTGAACAGCACATTTGTTCATGGAGAAATGATATGCATGATCCTCAAGAGACAGGCTTAAATGGCAGTTCCTTCTGTTTTTCTAACTAGGTGTGGTTTCATAAGAGGTTTACGTATTAGCGGGGGGGGGGAGATGTTAATAAATTCAACAAGGTATATTGCTGCTGTTTGCTTTGCGTTGTTTATTCGTTTAAAGATCAGTCTGCCCTTTACAGAAAACATGAGCACATTGATACACTCTTGCACCTTAATTTTCACCCCAAGTAAACACTACAGCATGATTGCACTAGCTACCCCACTTCTTATGTACATAGTAAGGATGACCATGGGGAAAACTTTGAGATTGCATTCATTTCTGGTTCTATTATGGGGAGGCTCCCTTATTAGTTTCAAGTCATTCAGGTGTGCCGGTCCCTTTGGGCTATCTGTTTTTGTATGTGTGTGGGGTTTTTTTTCCCCCTTTCTCATTCAGGTTTCTGGTGCTGGCCTAAATTAAACCCCACAAAGCACTCAAAACTACTAAAAAGGGAGACAGTAACAAAAAATCAACTACAGCAAAAGCAGGAAAAAACAGCACTGCGAGAAACATAAATTAGTCATCTTCAGAAGCTAGGCAGTAACAGCAATGTAGCAAAATTCCAAATTAAGGAGCAGAAGTGAAAATATATAGAATAAACTGGAAATATATGCAAATGAACTCAAGGGCAAGAAATAAATAAGTCAAGTCAGCCCTCAGCCACTGGAATGTGGGGTTGAGGATTACTCCCCATCACCAAATTAATGCCTTAGACCAGCAGCAAGATGTCGCAAGGCAACCATGCAGTTCACAGTAAAAATGCTTCAGGAATTGGAGAAATTTCTCCACAAAAATAAATAAAATGGATTAAAAATTGGAGGACTCCAAGGGGGAAAAATAAGAAATTAAAAAGAGAAATTCACAGTCAAGTGAATTAAAAAGCAATGGCAATCCAATCAAATTCAGAATGAAAGAATTTTTAAAAAGTAATCCAATAATCCAAATTGTGGCAATAATCCAATCCAGTTCAAAATGGAGGCAAGCCAAGGTGGTTGTACAGCAAAATCACACAAGGAATCAGCAGCAAAATGTAGGCATCTCTATCTTCCAGGGCCTTTTTCAAACTCCCAGTACCCATTCCCTTCCAGGGTCTTCCCTGAATTCTAATTGGAAGCAGACAGCCCTTGATATGAGACTTGTGACACTACAGTGGTGCCTCATTTAGCGATGTTAATCCGTGCAGGAAAAACCGTCACTAAACGATTTAATTGCTAAGCGATCATCGCTAAGCGATTTTTACCCATAGGGGCTATCGCTAAGCGATCGCTCTGGCGATGGCAACAAGTCCATCGCTAAGCGATTTCGCCGTAAAACGGAGTGATTGCTAAGTGAGGCACCACTGTATTTGCTGGCATATCAAGGAGGCACTTTTATGTGTATGTAGGTAATCTTTTGCATTGAACCTGATACAAATCTGATATTTTTGTTACCCTCTGTTTTCAAAATCTAAATACATTGTTTCGAAGGCTATCTATGAGAAATTAATGAAAGACTCCAAAAATAAGGGAAGCTGCCTCTTTTATATTTTTCCCCATTCAGGTTACCTTGAAAGTCCTGTCCAAATTCAGTTGATTGCTAGTTGTGTGAAGGAGCGGAAATGAAATAAAAACTCTGCTAGTGTCAGCATCTACAAACAGCAGATTTGCAGCACAGTCCTGTCCGTAATTATCTAATCTGTCATTGTCCAGACCAGTTTATCCAGGCTTGGAGAAACAAAACTTCCTATGTTTGGAGCATATGAATTGTGACCATATTTTTCTGCCTTGTTTGGTTTGTTGTCCATATTTTTGCAACCAAGTTCTCTCCCGTTGGTGAATTAGCACAATTAGAGACTCCTAGAATGTAGTGTAATTATATTTTTTAAAAATCCCTTTGCATCCTGGTTGAGTGAGTTGGAGTCCCTGGCTGTGGAGCCAGGGGTCAAGTTCAGTTTCCCATTGTGTCTCATGGTTGAATAAAGTCTATTTAGCCTTAGGCTTTTTTGTTGAATAAATGTACTGTAGCATTAGAGGTAGTCACAAAATTATGATGTACAAAAATACATAGCATGCATGTAAAGTAAGCAGATACTGAGCCCAGTGTATCGTTTCCATTATGTTTCTGTAGATCTATGACTCCAGCACAAGCTGATCTCGAATTTCTTGAGAATGCTAAGAAGCTGTCTATGTATGGTGTTGATCTTCATCAAGCCAAGGTAGAATAGTTATTTTCTTAGATTATATTGCATTTCATCTGTTAAAAGTTTCATATTTGTGTTCTTTTCCTTGAGCCAATTCTCCCATAGTAAAAAGCAGCATGGTGACTGTGAGAAGAAAGGTGTTATGTTTATCACAGAGAAGTGCAACCAAGATCAATGTGAAGAGGTTCCTCAGTGTACCTAATTAAAAGGCTAATAGGGCTGCAGCCCAGCACTTAAGACTGTCATGTCCATACAGGATGGATTCAATGTAGGGAATTTACACTAGAGAAGATTATAGTCCAAATATATAGCGCAACATTTTAAAACATTGTACTGTATACTGAAAGCATTATTACAGGTGCACTGCAGACATAATTGCTACATTCAGGTGTGGAACTTCCATATTTTTTGGGATTATAGCCTCCAGAACTCTGAAGGAGATTCCCCCCAGCCAGAAGGTGGATGTGGTGGGACTTCATGAAAATGGAAGAGGTGACTGGACTGAGCAAAGCTCTATGAGAACTGTAAGACATGGTAGTTTACTAAGAGGCACCCTTTACAGAGCATGATAGTCTAGTCCCTTTTTTATTTTAAAAAACCATAACTCAAAAATGCTTTGCCCAAATTTGGTGCTGATCCGAGTTCCAGTTTCTGAGTTACAATTTTTTGTTTAGGGTACCCCTATTTTTTTAAGTTGACCTATGGAATGCTGAATTGAGCTGTCACACAATATCTATTGCTACACACCTATCTTTCCAAGTCATGCCAGAAGTATTGCTCTTCAGTGGAATTCAAGAATCACCTAGATTTCTTCTTCAATTCAAACTATCATAAAGAAGATTGAATCATTGATTTGACTGTGAAGATATTAATTATCCAGTGACCAAAATTCTCTTGGGATTTTACATGCATATGAAAGGAATCACACAGTTTGCTGTGGCTAATTGGCAAGATGCCCAGCCAGTGCTGGATGCACAGTCAGGAATGTGGCTGGGTGCATGACTGGCATGTGCCTGGAATCTTGTCAGTTTACACAGTTCCATTTTTATGTATGTAAAATCCCCACAGGATTTATTTGTGTGACTGAATCTGTACAATAAATGTTACTGAGATTGATTTTTCTCTTATTGGATCTTGCTTAGTATAGATAAAATGCAATATAAACTCTGGATGTTGAATTAAATGCTTTGAATAAAATGTGTCGGAGCAGAATATGTTGTCGGAACCAGCACTCTTGTCAGAAAGCCACATAGAGAGCAATTTCAGAATATCCAGTGAAGATAATTGGCATATGAAAAGGGAGGAGACTGACCCGGTAGTATGTAAAAATCAAGTGACAGAAAAGCCAGTTACTGTATGAGTTCATGAGCTTGAAAAAGATTCAGGTGACATAGAAGCCAAATATTTTCTATGTTCAATGAGGATCTGAAAGGATCTCTAAAATGTGTTTCAATCTCTTTTCTGTAGGATTTGGAAGGTGTGGATATCACTTTAGGTGTCTGTTCCAGTGGCCTTCTTGTCTATAAAGATAAACTGAGAATCAATCGTTTCCCTTGGCCCAAAGTGTTGAAGATTTCTTATAAACGCAGCAGCTTTTTCATCAAAATTCGGCCTGGCGAGGTATGTTGTGGACTCAGATACTATTTTGGGTCTTGCTTTCCTCATTTAGCTTCTATCTCAGAAAAATATTGAGTGACAGTAAGTGAACTGTTCTGCAGATGGTGACGTAGTTTGGACAGTGGACAGAGCCAGAAGGTGTGTGCAAATCCAGTTCAATCTGATTTGTATCCAAAATGTTTTCCATACAGTTAGGGACCAGTCTCCCCCAAACTAATGCAGGGGGCTCTGGAATGATTTGTGTTCATGTTTCTGAAAGCATTTCTAGGCATATGTATGTTCACAAATTAGGTGAAAAAAAGTAAAAAACTGGAAAATACAAGAGTGTGCCCTGTAATGGAGGGCTCTGTGCAGCACCACCTTCTTTGGGAATGTGGTGGACCTTCATTTTGTAAGTAAAGCCCCTATCAGCTTGCTTTCTTCCTTTAAGTATGTGTTGGGAATGTGGAAGATTTCCACATAGTGTTCCCAGTCCCACTCTGACTTATCAATGTGTGCCCACTCAATGCGTAGCCTAGAGTAGTCCACATTTGATCCCTACCCACTCTGGAACATACAGAGGCACCCACAGCAAGAAAAAAAGTGGTTTTACAAGGATAGTGGACCCTCGACTTACAGACGGCTCGAGTTACAGACTTCTCTGGCTGCAAAATTTAGATTCGACTTGCAGCCAGAGAATCGACTTACAGACCAGAAAAAAATCAAAATGGAATAAAAATAGAATAAAAACCACTGGTTATGGGATTAATTGGTTTTCAGTGCATTGTAGGTCAATGGAGATTCGACTTACAGACTTTTCGACTTGCAGCCACCATTCCAATACGGATTAATTCCTTAAGTAGAGGGTCCACTGTAAGAGTCAGCAGCAGTCATTAGAAAATTAAAAGAAAGAAAAAAATAGTGAAACTGTCCCTACCTCTGCTTTGACTTACCCTGCCTAAATTCATACAAGAGGTAGGACTCACAGTTAGCAGTAGTTGTGGCATGAGATGATTCCTTTCCTTCAAAAGGTGCTTTTTGCTACAAAGAAGCAAAAGTTTGATATCTTGACAACCATTCTGCTACTCCCCAGAGTGCTTCTACCTCGTGTTATTCTGGCAGGTAGTGGTGATGGCAGAATATATTTCAAGTTCAATTCTGGCTCAGTCTGTGTTGTGCATCATATATTTTTCAGGTAAATTCTGGCTCAGCACTTCAGGGTCCTCCAGATGTTACATTTTGATGTAGACACATTGTAGTTTATATAGGTGCTTTGTTACTCCTCCAAGTGATTATTATACAGCTCAATTTCTGTTAGCCCTTTACCTGGTACAGCATGGAACAGGATGGTGTCCAGCTCCAGAAAAATGATGACATTGGTGCAGTGCTATAAACTGTCTTCCAATTTCCTAACATTTTTCCCCTATGAAATAATTTCCCATTTTTCTGCACTTTCACATAACACTGCAAGTAAAGACATGAAGAAATTTTGCCACTGTCTTACTTGTAGGAAAGACAGCTGTATTAACATGGCAAAACACCCTACCGTCTCATGCTTCTTTTTTAAAAAATTTGGTTGTGATTAGCACAATGTATACAAGATGGTTCTGGTGCCTTTTCCTTTATGAAATAGAGCATAACACACAAGAGCAATCTGAAGAAAAGATGAAGGGAACCCACCTAGTATTTCTGCTTTTAACAACAAGGCAGCAGCTATTGTAGTTTTATATTGCACATTGTTAAAAAAATCCAAAACACAAATTCTCTTTGAGATTGAAACTGAAAAATCTTGCTGTCTTGTGCCAAGGAGATTTGTATGTGTGTGTATGCTTCCTTATTGTAGCACAAGAACAAAATGTATAAGTTTTTACATGCCTCATGGCAAGATGGTCAAGAGCGCTGCATCAGTTTTTCCTTTCTGTTACATATCTGATCATCATTTTGCATATTCCCTGCATGCCTGTATTTTCTAATATTGAAGTGTGGGAACCTGTGCAGTGGGATGTCTGTATATCAGGGTCTATCAGCAGCTGCAGAAAAGAGCATATAGTGAAAGATATGCAGACATGCCTGTCAGCCACCTTGTAAGTGAGGAAACCAAAGAATCCTGGATGACATGTTCCCCAGAACTTCTCATCCTTCCATATTATTAACAAAGAGAATTTCTTTTCTAGCAAAATGAATAAGAATACTGAAATTTCTTGTGGGAGATGTTTTTAGTACAGCACTAATAGTGATATCGTACACACCAATTTTCAAAGGTTAAACAGAATAATTGAATAGTTTGCTATAGAAAAACTTGCCTTCTGGAGTATAGGTTATATCAATATCATCCAAATCAGGCTAAATCCACTGTACATTTTCTGTGCCAAAATACAATATAGTGGAGATTTATTCTGTACTACTATTCTCTGTAGCAGGAACAATATGAAAGTACAATTGGATTCAAACTTTCTAGTTACCGGGCAGCTAAGAAACTCTGGAAAGTCTGTGTTGAGCATCATACATTTTTCAGGTAAGTATCTTTGTTTTATAGCAAAACTAAATGGCCATTCCAGCTGTTTGTGTTGTGACAAAGTGTTTTTTCCCTGTTGCTGGCATATATTGCCAGGGTAGTAGTACTGGATTCTTTGTGACCTTGAATATTAGTTGCTTAGATCCAAAAAACAACATGCAAATCCAAACATACCGAAATGTATAGAAGAAAGAGGAAATAAGATAAAACAAAATAATTATATTCTTTAGACCCTATTAATGTGCCATTTGTTTTTTCCTTTTTCCTTTTTGATTCCAACTCACAGAAGTCTCCAAAACTACTCCAGGCAGAATTCTGGGAGTTCCCATGCCTATATTTCAGTCACATGGATTGGGCCTTCTCTAAACCTGTGTAGCCTCATCCTGCCTCTACGTCCTGTTAGTAATTTGGGAGGGGGATGAAAATATACCTCCCATGGTTTTTCCTGGGAGTTCTAGTTTTGCTGCCTTTTAGGCTTTATAGAGGGTGGTGCCTCCTGAAGGATTTCTACCCCACAGGAAGCACCATGGCAGCTTCCCTTTCTAACGTTATCAACAGGAAGTACAGACAGGAGGAAGCCATGCAGTCTCAGAGAAAGTCCATCTCCAGGTGAGAGAAATGTCAGTGTCTATAGGTGTGGGTGTGAACTCCTGGTATTTTGCATGGGAAATTATTGGAGAATCTGGGGAGTTGGCGTTAAAAAAAGGCACATCATTACCCAGTACAGTATGCAGTATAAGCATCAAAGCCAGCCATCTGCTGAAAAGATGTTGCTCACATTCCCAACTACCGTTATCTAAAAATAAGAATTTGTAATGAATGGAGTTTTTTTTTCTTCCTATAATCTTTCCTTTCCTTGCCAATTTGGATTGAGGGATGGCCATATATGAAAAAAGTCATCTTAGCTAATGTATTGATGATAATGTATTCAGTTAAATGTAAGTGTTATTTTGTGTTTGTGCACAGAAGTTTAAAGCAGTTGAGAAAGAGCTCTATTTATCAAGGATATGCAGAGGAAGGTTCATAATGTCTTTCTGTGTACAATAATGCACTTCATTTTCTCTTTGGGTCGCTGTCAGTGGAGCCCAGATCAATTGATCTTGAATATTGTGGATTTTGTATTTTGTTCCTGTATTATAGTTGCAGCAATTTATCCACATAACTGTATGATACTCAAAATGTAAATACTGCTGGGATAGTCCTGATCACCAGTCATATGACTCTTATGATTCAAGTAGCATGGTTGTTTTTGCTAATTTGTATTGTCTGGATAGCTGTCATTATGTGGAAACATTTGATAAATTTATTTGATTGGGCGTTATTGGTTCTTTGGTTAGAAGTAAAATTCATACATGCATATACTTTTTAGGTTAACATCCACTGAAGCAATCCCGAAGAGCAGGTTCCTAGTGCTTGGCTCTAAATTTCGCTACAGTGGTCGAACACAGGCTCAAACCAGACAAGCTAGTGCCCTGATTGACAGACCTGCACCACAGTTTGAACGAACAGCAAGCAAGAGGGCATCTAGAAGCCTCGATGGCGGTGAATATCTAAATGTTTCCCATTTTGCTATTCCCCTACACCAGTCTTATCCTGTAGTTACAGAGCTTAGACTTTTAGTCTAAGTTGTTTTTCATATATTTATAAATCTGTTAAAATTGTCCTTTACTAAATTACTTCTAACTCCTTTAATGAATTAGTTTCACGAAGTGCTTAAATCTACATGGCACAGAGAATGAAAGAATGTAAACTAGACTCAGTAATTAACCTTACTCTGGGTCGAAGGGAATCACTGCAGCTCCTTCCTACTCATATTGCTCCATAATGTGAGTAATTGTATAAGAGGATTAATGCTGATATGAGGACAAACAGGTCTGTTAACTATGAATGGCAACATTTGGTTGAACTTGCCCCAAAGCGTTGTGGTCATTTTGCAGTGTACGCCCCCCTCAATTGGTGTAACTAGCATACACAGCATGGATGCCTAGTGAGCACATTGGAAGCTATTGTCTGTTTCACTTGAAACATATGCCAAAATTTCAGTAGTTTTTTATATGCTGTATATCACATTTCCAACAGACGTAAATGGAAAAAAGTTAAAAAATTATTTCTTACTCAGATTTTATTTTATAGTGACTAAGTTTGCTTCTAGCACCGAAGAAAGCTTCAGGTACAGAAAGAGACAGGAGAAAAAAGCAGTGTGAAACAGGGGGAAAAATACCTTTTTTTGCATTCAGATTTCTGTATACATTAAAAATCAGCTACTCCTGTCAAACCTTTCATTCACACTTGTTGAAAGAGAAGTGAGATTCTGAACCATGGTATCTACGGATTCAGAGTTATGGTCTACACCTATGCAGAGCCTCCTGTTTGGAGAGAGTTTTGGCAATTTCCCTTGCAGATCTGCATGAAAAGTGCATTTTCTGACGGAGGAAGGCACAATTCCTCCTGTATTTTTTTTTCAGGAGGGGGACCTTTTTGAGCTATATGCAGAGAAACCAGAGTGCCTAGTTAAAATCTTTTTGTTTTTGAAAAGGCAGTCTTTGTTGCATGTTTGGTAGCACAGATGTTGTGTGTCTTCATGTCACCTGAAGACTGCTTCAGCTTTTTTACTCCTGCCACCATGCTGTCCCTGTTGGCAGAGCCAACACAGCAGGTCCTGACCTCATTATCAGCACCTGTCATGTCAGCTCATCCTTGGTGTTGACTCCTTGATACTGAATGCAAGGATGGGCAAAACCAAAACGGCAGACTGATCTGAGCAACTGAAAAAGAAAAAAGTGGAATATGCTTCAACCACACAGGAGGTATAGGTCATTTCAAGTGAACCGCAGAATGAAATCTTGCAGGCACATGAAGCATGGCCTCTTTCAGCCAATGTCTCCTTTGAAACGCCTGTTCAGGGTGAAATTCAAGAAGATACACAAGCAGCTATGTCATCCCAGACATATGGATTTCAACATTGTAAGTTTGATCTCAGCAATATTTCTCCAAGCAGCATCCAGCTACACATCAGTCCAAACAGTATTCCTCAGCCAGATACAATTGATATCCTGCAGGGGGGAAATGTGAATATTATTCCATTGCCAATTTGCATTGGCAAATAAAAAATTAGTATTTTCAGTGATATCTGGCGATGTCCAGGAACATCTTGCCTCTCTTATTAATGCCCAAGTCATTGGAAATGCTCCATTCCTTAGATTGTCCCTTTGTCTCAGGATCATAACAGTAGATCCACGTCTCATCACCAGTTACCAGTTTGCCCAGGAAATCTGACTACTTTTTTGCAAAATGTTCCAAAACAGCCACCAATGACTCCATACGTTTCCTCTTTTGTTCGATTGTCAAAAGTTTGGGGATCCACTTTGCTGCCAGCTTTCTCATTTCCAAGTCATTGAGGATAATGTCACCAACTCTCTCACATGATATTCTCAGATATATAGGAATACTTTTGGCTGATCATGTCATAGGTGGCTTTCACATTTGCAGGCACAGAGAAAGAAACAGGCGTTCCAACACCGAAATGGCCAGTTTTAAAACTGACAACCCAACGTTTAACTGTTGCATATGAAGGGCCACTGTCACCCATAGTTTGTGACATTTCATCATGGATCTGCTTTACACCTTTCCCTTGGAGAAACAGGAACTTGATTATGGTCCTATGCTCTTCCACATTGAACTTTTCTGGAGGTGCCGCCATGTTCACTTTGGACCTGTACATGAAAGATAAGTTAAAATCATAGGTAGTTGATTTTTGCACCATTGAATACAGACAAATTGGCCAATACCCCCTGCAATTTATAGTTTCCTAGCTCAGTTTTTTTCTGGGAAAGGCTCAATAATTATCAGCACCCCCTCGTAAAGCAGCCATATCAACTGGCTAAAATAAATTTGCTAGAGCTAGTCAAGTGGCATTTCGCTAGGGCTATCGGTACTATTGGAATTCTTTAAAAGGGCCTTCCTACCAACTTCAGTCAAGCTGCAGCTTGGTCCCGATTGTTTGATCAAAGTTACTAAATGGTAACCAGGTCTCAAAAGACACCCTACTTTTTAGAGAGCTGTACTCTCCCCAGTGCTTCAGTGAGCAAAGGTGTCTGCCCTCCTGCTTCTGTCTTTTTTTAAAGGTAAGCTTGCTTGTCTTCACTCATTATTGTTAATACATGCATACCACATCAAAGAGAAGCAGATTCCTTTGTAACATTTCTTCTTCAAGGGGTCCTGTATGTACGTATTTGCATGTCCTGCCCTTTCTCCCACATTTGGCATCTGCAGTTAATTCATTATTGCTACTGTGTTATCTGAATTTATAGAAGTGAGGGATTGAACACCAAAAGCAAATCAAAGCATGCTACTTATATATCGCCCTGTTCATATGTGATATAGTGAAGGGGCAGGGCTACTGCCGAAACTTCCTTCCAAAAAAATTTCAAAGTGGTCGTTCTGCACAAGTGCAGACACATTAGTGTGAATTCATAGACAATAGCTTGAAGAAGAAATATTACAGTTAGTGAACACATGCAGTATATAAATAACTGCTAAACCTGTCAAACGTTTTGGGCAAAATGGACAGTGTTGCTTTTGAGGTGCTCAGTAGGTCCTTACAATGTGCATGCTGCAGGTAATTGGTTATTGCCATTTTGATTGATCAATACTATTTTGGAAGATGTTAACTAGGAACTCTGATTTTAGCATCTTTGGGTGGGTGGGTGCAAAACACTTGCAAAACTTTGGAATAGATTTTGAAGAGTTGGAACAAATTACAGTGTAAGATTCTTCTAGACAACATGAAGAGAGTTTAAGAGGAGTAGCCATGTAATGGCTCCATTGATGATGGGATCAAAGCTTGGAACTTTAGGCTTAAACATTAATTACTTAAAGTTTAATTGAAATCATGAATTTATGTCTCTCCTTAAGTAGGAAAATAACCTGTTTCTGCTAGCATTGAAATTCAAAAATGTTTGATTAAATAAATTACTGTTATTAATGTGTTTGTGTTTTAATGTTAGTTGGCGTACCCCTCAGTAGAAGACCTGTGTTAATCTTTTTATTGTATTCAAATTGTTGTAAGCTGCCCAGAGACCTTTGGGTAGTGTGGGCAGCATATAAGTTAAATAAATAAATAAATAAAATAATCCATTCTCTAAGAGGAAGAAGGCTTATTCTCCCTTATAAAATTACATACGAAAGTAACATTTTTAACTTCCAAAACAATTGTTTAAAAAGCAAAGCAAAATATAGTGCTTATATATCACCCAATAGTGCTTAAAGCACTCTCTGGGAAGTTTACAATTTAATTATGCACTCTACACATTCTACTTACACACCTCGCAAGCTGGATACTCAGTTTGCTGACCTCAGAAGAACAGAAGGTTGAGTCAACATTAAGCTGGCTACTTGAATCCTCTGCATGTTGTGAGCAGAATTTTGACTGCAAGACTGTAGTTTAACCACTGTGCCACAAGGCTCCTAGTATTACTTCTCAAATGTTAAATTTTGGAAGTTAAAATTTGAATTTCTGGTGCAAATCCAAATAATAATAAATTTAATGTTAACATTTTAGTTTTAATGTACTGTTTCTAAGCTCTGAGTTGGAAAATATAATAACTGGATCCTAGAGTTCAAAAATATTTATATTTAAGGTTTAATAATCTCTCCTCCGGTTGTGTATATATCCTGTTATTTATAGTGCACTGTGGTAATTATAATCAACAACAGTATGCTTTGTGATACAGAATCATAAAAGGCTTTTAGAACTGCATGTAGCAATTTTGTAACTGAGGCAAAGATTTATTTTCCTTACTGCTCAGCTGAAAGTGGAAACTGAGAAATAAGCATCAAAGAACAAGAGCAAATATTGGCTGAAATCCTGGGGCACAGTTAGGGAAGAGATGTAACATTTTCTGGTGATCTGCCATAAGTTAATAAATCTCCATTGGCATTATATGTTGCATACCAAGTCAGGCAACCCTGTGTGCAGCAAAGAAGATCTATGGAGGTTTCTTAATTTGCAGAATTTCATCATTGAAAATTATGGCTTTTGCGGAACTACGTGGCAGGATTTGAGCCAATAATTGTATCCAAGCTGAAATCTGCGACCTTATATACTGTATTTTGTATTTTCTGTAACATGTGCACAACTTCTTCAGCTAAACGTGGCTCTCAAAAAATTGAATTCAGACCTGTAGAGGAGGAGAAGCAGGAGCATGTGGTGTTGGTTGGGTTTCCGGAGTCAGAACCTATGGAACAGTTTCAGGAGAAGCCAGGTATCACTGTGGCTTGCTCTGATTCTCTGTCTCTTCATCTCAGCCTGCAGTGCCTTTTCTATCCTTTCATAAGCTGATTCTGAAATGCTTCACATGTTCTGCCCTGCGCTTTTTCCAAATAAATGAAATGAGACTTTAGTAGTCAGAACTCTGTTGGTGGCGTCTGTGTTTTTGTTCTGAAAGCTATCAGCAGCAAAACTGGGACTTCAGAGGCTCGTGGGGAAAATTTTAATATCTCGAGTCAGTTGCTAGCTAACTGAATCAGAACTATCTGATTGTGTTTTCCATATTTTGCAAAAGAAGCAAAGCTCTTGAGATGGAGCTCTACCCTTATAGTTATCTTCTCGACTTTTAAGAGATTTATAATTGCTGTGCCAGAAAATGTTATATTTGCAATTCTGTGGTTATATTTAGTCTCTCCGTTGAAATAAATGACTTTACTTTTTTGATAAGTTTTACTGTTCACGGGGTCTTAATAATTTTCTTCGCAAAAATTCAGCATTTTTCCTCTCATTTTCAAAGAAATGAAGCATAGTCTATGGTACATATTTGATGGTGTCTATATATATATTATAGCAGCTGAGCGTGTTGTTTTACTAAGGAGTCTTGAACCAGATCTTAATTCTGTTTCTCTCTATTACTCTTCTATTCTGTACATGTTCTTAACAGGAGGATTGTGTCAAAGCATTCTGCTCACTCAGACTGAATCTTTAAGTTGTTGGAATTATTTGTTAAAATAGCCTCATCAGTTTGCATAACCTTCTATATGCATTCTTCTTGTAATTCTGGTACTGTATTTATAATTGACCATTGGAGAGTCATTTTCTGAATGTGGAATTAACACTATATATTCTAACACTGAAGATAAGTATTTGAAAGAGCTTGTGTCCTTCTAAGTATTTAACTCCCACATTATAGAAAGTAAAGGAAATTAGTTTTCCAGAACTTTTCTTCAGCCTGTGTGGTTCTGAAAGCCCATGGTTGGCAAAAGTGAGAAAGCAGAATAGTGCAAAAATTAGGCTAGAGGTTATAGTCTAACTTTTGATCCCACTTACAAGACAATTAAGTGACTTTGTCTCTGCTAGGTGCTTCTGTTCAGGTTACACCTAGGGAATGAAGAAACTTTGGCTGACTCAGACAGACTTCAGGAAAACTGAGATTAGATGGATGACTGTGTTATCTCACCTATTTTTTTGTATTCCTCTCTCCATTTTCCTATCCTCTGCCTGTTCATCATTTAGCCTGATGCAGGTTTTTGAAGAACTTGAAGTATTGTTTGCTGTTTTGTGACATTGTAGATGGTGCTGCCTGATTGTCAGTATTGAATTTTCAACATAAAAGAGATAGGGATTTCTTTACGAAAGTCCTGCTATTGGTATATTAATTTCACAATTCTTTTAGCAAAAGACACAGTTGAGAATATTGCAAAACAAATAGTGGCTAAGGAGCAGCTGAAGTTGGAAGTGTTTAAAGTTCCTTTTCAAGAAATAAAATTAGTGGGTCTTTAAAAAAACAGCCAGGTGTGTGACAAGTTCTCACTTTAGTGTGACTTAATATTTCCTGTTAGAGTAACTAATTCTGTTTCCTCTATTTCTCTTGCAAAATTGATAGTGCAAATGAGAGAATACACAATTATCCAGTATTTCTCCTTTTCCAGAGCTAGTGTGAGTTGAGGAAACATAGCTAGCCAATTCAAAAAAGCAAGGCTACACTGCTGGTTAATGAAATGCAAGGATCAATCATCCTCATTTGTAAGATTTGTTAGTAGCTTGTCCAAGCTTGTAAAAATCTAGACTGCAAAGATCTGCTTCCTGCTGGAGAAAGATGCTTTTACTTACACAACAGCTATTTTCTTTCCGTGGAGATTTTGCCTAAGGAAAGGCAGTCGTTATCTAGAGCCTCCCTCTCACATGCAGAACTCCCATTTTAGATAGATAATTATAATTAACAGCCTGTTCAAAGGTTTGCCCATTTTTGTATATGGAGCTGCCCAAGAGATGTTTTGTTTTCAGCTCTCAACTATGCCTCAGTTTATTAAAAGACCTCTCACTTTGAGCATTACTCTTATCTCACAGAGAAGGTAGTGTGTGGGGGGGGGAGGCAGTAAGCAAATCAAGCTAAGGTGTTCCCCTGCACAACCTACCATGTTAAAAAAAAACCTAAAAACAAGTGTTTGAGGCACTGCAATAATTTGCTTTTAATTTTTATTTCTGTTTTGGTTTTGGTCACTTATCTATGCTGAAAATCCAAAGAAGTTTTTGATCATGTATACCTAACTCACTTCTTTTTTAAAAATGGCTTTCTTGAGGATCAGGAATGTCGATGCTTGTGGTGAGGCGTCTTGTGAGTTAGGGGTATAGATTCATTTTCAGGCAAACAAACAGAACAACCTTTCTTGAAGTATTTCCTGCAAATAGTATGGCGTTCCCACCAAATGAGAATCTGAGAATTTTAGAAAAAAAAAACTACCAAGAATTTGATATTGTACTGCTTTATGGACGAGTTTAAATGACTGCAATTCTTTTTATGCCATATGATAGTGTGAGAAATTAGGGAGCAGAAACAGGAGCTCTGATGTATTGGATGCAGCATGCTCTCCGGTACTCATATTTTGCTGGATTGCTGTCTGTACATTTTGGTTCTAGGACAATTGCATGATTAGTGTGGGTATAAGGAGTAAGTTGAACTTTCAGTGGAAGGAGAAGCTTTTTGCGCAATCATACAATATTTTGAATTGTGAATTTCTAAATGCTAGTTGGGTATAAGCTGGTATTAATCATTTATGTGGCAGGAAATGCTGCTACTGCTCACTTTCTAGCTGACTCAACAGTCTTGTAGTGATTCTGCTGGAATTATTGTTGCAGTGTGGGAGGTGTTAGTTAGTTCCTGTTTGCTCTGCAAGCATTGTGTCAGAAGCCTCAGCTGATGTGGGAAGACTCCATGCTGTGGCACCTTCTGTGGCCATTGCCTCACCTTCCAGGAGAGGTAAACATTGAGCAGGAAGAAACCATGTCAAAGATTCTTCTTGTGTAACCTCAGAATTATAGCATTACTTTGCAGCGTAGGAAGGTGCTGCAGGAAAATTACATCTGTGTTGAATCCAAGGTAGTTTTCTGAGAGGAACCAACTGGTTTTCAGCTGAACAGGAAAGTTGTATAATATGTTTTTGATCATCAAAGTTTCTGTTTTCCAAGGACTGGATTTTTTGTTTTGTTCTGTTATCATGGGATTATTGGCAGTAATTAACTGATATAGTATAGGTTATTATCCACCTACAATTAGCTGTTTATTACAAAGACACAAATGCAGTAACTCTTTACACAGTGTGGTCATCAACCTGTGCTGTTCGGCAGTATCTAATTTTTCCCCCCGTAAGTTCCTGTTAAAAGCAAATATTACGTTTATACACTAAATGTATCATCTGCTTTGCATATCTTTCTTTTGCAGTGCTGTGACTTGAAATTACTTTCTTCCTCTTCTTTTCTTTCTTTCTTTGGTGGTGGTGGTGGGATTTTGAATTCTAACTCTTGATTTTAAAAATACTCAAACTATTTCTGTGCAGCAGTTGCAGTGGTTACACCTGACCGAAGTCCACGCCCTACATCTGCACCAGCTATTGCTCAAAGCCATATAACCGAACCAACCCCGCCGGCTTTACCTGAGAGCAAGGAACCAGAAATCACTAAAAGTGAGAAAGAAACTGTGAGAAAAGAAGCAAAATGTGAAGAAACTGTACCAGAGAAGGGCAAAACAGAGACTCTTGAAGGAGTCCAGGTATGCCAGACTATTGCTGGTTTGTTTAATTGTGAAGTGGCCTTTGTTGTCTGGGATATGATCTTTATCAGGACCACTCTTATGTCATCTTGTTTCCATTGGTGCCTTGAGAAAATATTCCTTTGGTTTATTGGGAAAAGGCTGTCCTCAGTTTGCAGTTCTTTGATATTTTGGCCTCATATTAGCAGTGGAAGACAAATTACAGCACTTACCCAGCTCTGTTTTTTTTTTTACCATCTCCTGATACAGGAAGAGAAAGCTAACACCCCAGCATTCCACAGATTTGTCCTCATTGGCAAAAATTCCCACCTTGGACATTTCTCAACTCTTTTCCTGTGTCTATTACCTTCCCCTTTTGTACTCTAAATCTGAGGCTTACAGCCATATCCTCCCTAAGGCATTTGTCTTCTCCCACTTGACAACTCTGCCTAGCAGGCTACAACTCTCTAGCTCCCCTGTCTCACCAGCTGAAGGGAGCTGCATCTCCTTTTCTAAGTGGTTGGAGAAGGGTATGTTTGACTATTTTAATTCTCATTGTTTTGGATATAAAAGTACATTTGAAATATGCATTCTTTCCTCAGATTCCTGCATTTAGTCCATTATTTGTTTTGATTTTTTTTTCAGTCAGCTACTCTGTTTCTAGACCACCTTACCTAATAATCATCTTTCCAAACCCAATTCCTGTAGTATACAGCTTGTCCTCTCCTTATACACAGCAATTTTTTCATAACTCCCCATTCTGAATAGCTTTGATTCCTTGTTTCGACAGCTTATTTCCTAAAAACATATTTTCTGATTACAGTGGGGTCTTGACTTGAGAACTTAATCCGTATTGGAAGGCGGTTCTCAAGTCAAAAAGTCTGTAAGTCGAGCCGTCTGTAAGTCAAGGGTCCACTGTAGTTCACGTTCTCAATTCGATTCATTCCTTGTCTACCCTGCCCCATTCTTTCAGCCTCCTTGCATAAGTGTCCTATGTCTCAAGGATGTCTTACCTAAGCCTATTTTGAGCTGGGTTGTTTACCAGTCCAACTGACAACATTTCTTTTCTCTCTCAGAATGCAGGATGCAAACTGCTTTGTGCTCTGGTTCCTGAATCAGTTCAGCTAATTAGTATCAGATCTTTTACTTGTATATATGCTACGTAGTATACGTTTTTAACACTCCTGGTTACGTTTTCATTTTTGATGCAACTGTGAACCCAAAACATTCAAGATACATTTTCAAGTATGTTGCTGTGTAATGACACTGAAATCTATTTCCTGAGACAAATACTTGTTACAAAATACTTGGGAAGAAAGTTCAAAAAAACTTTGAAAAAACTTTAAATTTTTTAACCTAACTTTTTAAAAAATGGTGTTGAACTAACAAATTGTCACTGTCAAATATGGTGTCATTTGTACCCTTTCAAAAGACTGCATGTGGGTTAATGCATGTTTATGCATGTTTCAAAAACAAATACCTGTTTTTGAAACAAAGCTGTCTCTGAAACCGTACTAACAAAACAAAAAATGTTTTTACCACTTTATTTTTTAATATAGGTGGGGAAAGTGCATATCGAAGTATCAGTACCCACCACAAATGGTAACCAAAATTGTCTGGTTAGGTTACTTATATTCTTTCTTTCAAAAAAAGAGAGGGGAAAGGCTAAAATATGAACACTTCAAAATAAATAAAACCACTTTTTGTCTTTTTTCTAAATTATTACAAAACAGCAGCGTGCAGAAAAAGAGGAAGACCCGATAAGAATGAGGAAGGTTAGCTGTTTTTTCACTTCCATTAAAGCAAAGCTATCATAATATTCATGCATACATTATATATTTAAAAAGACAGTGCTTCAGCTTCATTTCTTTTTAATTTAATTAGTATCAGTTGCTCACTGTAAAATAGCAAACTTTGCCCAAAATTAATTGAACAACATTTTTAAAATATTCTGCATAGAAGCATACCATATTTCCTATATCTCCCAGTTCTTTATAAAAATCTAATGATCCCTTTCATCACAGCTGTGAAAGGTAACTCAAAAGATGTATGTCTGCAGAAGTAACATAAACAAAAAGAGAGTTTAAATTACGGTGGATTTTAAGATTGTGTATGTATAAGTGTATAAAACTGATAAATCCTAGTTTTAAAACTGTGATTGGCATATGGAAGAGCCAAGAGCATACTTTTAATGTCCTGCCCAACTAAACTACTCTAAAAGAGAAAGTATTTTGAACTTTTCTTTACAGAGGGAAAAGTCACAATGTAAATTGACCAGAGAAGCTCAGGGGACTGTCTTTTTAAAGGGAACACATTCCATTCTTCCACAATTCATGAGCAAGTCCCCCCCCCCCATTTCCCTCAGATTATTCGTATGAACTTCTGGCTCCATACTCTACACCCCATTGGCATTCCATGGCTCTTCAGATGTTAATTTAACCTTTTTTCATTTTCCAATTTGCAAATTCCTGCAAGAACAACCTTTTTAATTTTTTTGTGCTTTTTTTGTTTGTTTTTCCTCCCCTTTCTTTCACTTTCACAGAAAAGATCAAAGAGACTAGATGGTGAAAACATTTATATAAGACATAGCAATTTAATGTTGGAGGTTTGTATGAATTTGAAGCTTCTTTCAGTTGCGTTTGCCTGGACCTTCTGCATTCTTGCTGAACTCTTTTTCCTCCTATGCTGCTACATTTGTGTTTTTTGTTTTTTTGCACGCTCTTGCATGGAGATGTTAAAAATAGGCTTTTGCATGTTTGCAACAAACATTACACTATGCAATCATTTTTCTACCTTTTAGAATTTTTTCTGTTGTGTTTACCTGAAAATATATGATTGGGATAGTTCCGTAGTTAAGTATATTTTCAAAATTTCAGTAAACTGAATACACAATTATCTATAAAGAGCAATATTAAAGCCAAAACCTACAGGAATGAGTCATACTACAAAAGGAGCAAGGATTTCAGAATTGTATCTTGTGATGCCACTCCAGAGTTAGTTTCAACCAACTAGATAAAAAATCAATAGAAGCTAGATTGGGTAGCAATGCCTATTAGTTTGAAACACATTTTTCTTCCTCTTGACAAATGCCTTTGATAAATGATGGGCAGTAGAAGGTAATGAGTAATATTGGGGAACTGTAATGTACCAACCCCACATGCTCGTAGTCGATCTCAAGAGCCTTCATATTCTGGATCGCCACAACCAAGGTGCAAACATGGAAATGTGCCCTCTGTACCAAGTGCACCACGCCTTTCACACTCTACTTTAATTTCAAGCTGTTGGAACTGAACAAACATTTCAGATCAACTGAGGGAAATGCCACAATTCCTTATGTTGTGACATTCCATCTTAGCATCTGCTGTTAATCCTCAGGATTGTCCTGAGAACTCAAACCGCTCATTGCAATCAGTATCAAAGTCTCTGGTTTTGACAACTGGCCACCATAAACCATGGGCTTCATCAGACAAATACAGGAAATCTGGCCAAACTCAATATATAAAGCTTAGATGCTCAATGGATCTGATTCCATAAGTTCTGATAGATCCTAGTCAATGACCTACATACATACCCTCATCAGTCTCATAATCTCCATCACCATGACCTTCCATAATCAAATCAAATCAAAGTCAGAGATAAATTCTCATTCATCCAAATACAAACATTCTCTGAGTCCAATGATCTTCATTCTCTCATAAAGACAGTAATACATGATCCTCCTTCTTCTAGACAATTGACAAAAAAGCTTACATCTTGATCCACATCCAAGTGTCACCATATACCTGAATAAAAAGAAAAATAAATAATCACCAGTACTGTACATCAATAGATTTTGATCATTCACAATATGACTTTTCTGACAAAATGCCCTCTGACATACACACACAGCAGACCCTGTCATCAGTATTGGAAACACCCCTACCTCACATTGTCCATTAGGTACCCCATAGACATTAAGGCTTCCTACAGCATCCTCCTCTCAGTACCTTCTACATTCTATTAAAAAAGCAGAGATCTACCCACATTTCCAAACACTCTAATAGAAGGTTAAAGCTTTGACTTCCAATTGGCTGAGGTCTATTCACACTCGATTGTCCATCCCAGCATCTTTTCTCCAATGCCATGCAACAGTAATTTAGTGTCATTCATCAACACCTTGCACACCGGCACCAGCAGCAATTGGGTCTTAGCCTTAGTCCAACATAGCTATGCCATAGAGTTCACATCTTGCCCACTCATGTTACACTACAGAACTACATCACCATCTCAAGTTCTTCTGGGGAAGTGGCATCACGTCTTCAAAAACGTGTCATACAGAATCTCAGGGTAATGGTTTCAACTCCTGTTACTTTATTATCCCCCCAAAGGGTGGAGGTATACATACAAAAGCCAGCTGAACATAACAAGGTAGAGATGCTGGCTCTCATAAAAGCATTCCAAGAATTCAAGAAACCTGTCATCTGCAATGTAGTACAAGATGTTACAGACAGCACAGCCACTATGTACTACGTAAACAAACAAGGAGGAAAGCCTTCCATGTCCCTCCTATAATTCACAGTACTTTTATGGGAGTGGTGCCTGCAAGGACATATTTTTCCGATTTCCATTCATATAGAGGGAGAGGACAACCAGAAAGCTGAGCTCCTCAGCAGAAGGACATTAGCCCACTAATGGAGGCTATCCTCACAAGTCTTCATGAACATTTATCTTTTTGCGACCCACAGCAACAGAAAGTGCAAAAAAAAAAAAAACTTCTCACAAACAGAGGGGAAAAAAACCTCTAGGAGAGTCTAAATGAACTAGACATACTCTGCATATTCTAACTTTCACTATAACTGTAGCTACTTGCAGTTTTTTTCTTTACTTTCTCTATTTCTATTTCAGGTCTTATTTTTAAAAAGAGTGACACTGGGACTGTTATAGTAGTAATTCAATAGTCATAATATATAGAAAGGAGCGATAATAGGAAGCTGCTTCATAGCAAGTCATTAACCCATCTAGCTCAGAGCATGTCTTCAGCAACTGACATCAGCTTTGTAGAGATTAGGACATCAGCCTTACTTGGAGATGGCATATACTGAATCTGGGACCTTTTGCTGCAAAATCATGCATTCTACTACTGATTTACTTCCTGTTTTCTCCCTTATATATGATGCACATACAAAGCATGGGATAAAGCTGTTCCCTCTAAATCTGAGAAAAAGAAGATTGTTGCAAACTTAAATGAAAAGAGGAGGAAAGAAATTGAAATAATTATCAAATGTGCTTGACATAGTTATATAGAGATTGTTTCCTTTCCCCCCAGAGGTATCCAGATCTTCATTAGTATTTAAAATTATAGCTGATAGAAACTTAATCTTTTAAATTTCCAAACCATTGTGAAAACAAACCATAAAATGCCATCAAAACAGATTCTTCTCTGAGTGCATATTTTAAGAAATACAGAGCTGTGTCCATAGACTAGAGGCATTTTCTTTTCATTGAATAGTGGCATTCACATAGTTTCTACAGATTTAGCTATCAATTTTATTACAATTCTATAATTGTAATTCTAGAGACACTAAATTACTTTGCGTACATGTTTTGGTCTTGGGTGTCTAGCCTTACAGCATGCAAGTGTTATTATATTTGTACTTCATACCTATGAGGGTCTTGATCATACTGAACATTCCAATCATATATTCATGATACTGGAGAATGTGTGGCTTCTTATACTGACTCTGTTTTCTATGTGTTATGTGTTTTACCCTCAGTTACAGAAACAGCAGCTAATAGGAGTTTCTTGAATAGTACCTCCTTTTAATGCACTAACAATTTTTTGAAAATCTTAATTTAGTGCTTTGCAGCTTTTGGATTTGAGTGCTACACTGCAGAGCATTTGCTCATCTGTAAAATGGTCTGTAACCCAGTCAACAGGAGATCATCTGGCAAGAGACTATGAAGATTTTACCCATGATTTTTTAGTCTGTTCTTAAACTGATTGTTTAATCTACTATCTCGTCCTAGTAGAGGTTTTTAACTTGATGTACTTGTCTCTTCGCAGTACTGTCCCATTGCCTCTCAAGGCTCTGTCCCATAGCATATGTGAAACAACCTACTACTGATTTTCAGACACTGAATTTGACCCTTAACTTTTTGTTGCAGGTGTTTTCAGGTTATCAACAAAAAATGGCTAATAAAAAATATGGGCACTATTGTCTCATATACTTTTTTATTTTTCATTTTGACAATGTAGAAGTAAGATGTGCTCCATTTGGTTGTATTTAGCAAAGAAATCTAGTATAAAGAACTAATAAGTTAAAGTGCTAAGCAAAGCAAATCCGTGAGGTGAGCACAATAGATATTTTTTAAAATGCTAGACACAATAAAACATTATGGCATGTCTGATTCCATTTTCAAGTTCCTCTGTTCATCTTAAGTTTAAGATACCATGCAGGCTTCCCAAGGTGGTTTCACAGTTGATAAAGAACTTTTTCCCTCTCTCTTTGACACTTCTTTTTCTTTATTGTGCACTATTTGTGACTATTTTTATAGGCTGTTTTTAGGTCTAGGTTTTTTTAAAACTTCCTTAGAAAAAACAAAAATTGGATACCTTGTACATATAAAACCTTTTTACTTGGACTCTTAATGTGTACTACAACTCTCTTTTAAATTCAATGGCTGCCAGTACTGTCTGAATGTTGTTGATCGTCTCCTGAATACCCGATCGTCAACAACTTTCCTTAGCAATACACATGCCTGACTATGTACCATTAATTTTCTCAGTAGTCTTTTGTGTATAACACTTGGGCAACAAGTTGGTGACTTTAGATCTTGCATCCTGATCATTGGCACAAGCAAAATGAAAGGGTGATTGCTATTAAGTAGAAATATAAATTTATCAAAGAATCAGTTTATATCACTCAGAATTCTTATGTCCCAGATTTTGGATGTTGATCTTATAACAGAAGAGGATGAGGATGTCATGTAAATAGGAAGGGGGAAATGCAGTCAAAAAGGGACTAACCCGTAGACTGCCCTAAGGCAGAAAGTGTTTGGTGCATGCTGCCAGTAACCAGCAATTGAGACTAATTCATGGCCAACCAAAGATATATTTTCTCTATAAAGTCCCAGTCTTATAAAGGAAACATAGTAACCGTAATGAAAGCCAAGCCCTATAAGGAAAGACTGAAAGAACTGGGCATGTTTAGCCTTGAGGGGAAAAAAAGATTGAGGGAAGGTATGATAGTCCTTTTCAAAATCTTTAAACATATACAGAGGAGAGACAGGATCTGTTCTCAGTCAACTCAGAGTGCAAGACATGTAATAATAGGCTCAAGTTACAGATTTTGATTGAATATCAGAAAAACTTCCTAACAGAGGATTACACCAATAGAACCTATTTGGGAGGTGTTGAGCACTCTGACATTGGAGGCATTTAAGAAAATTAGACAGTTTTTAGTTTTAAATATTATCTTTTAATGAGATAACCACTTTTTTTAAGGAGAAAGGTAAGGTTTCAAATAAATATTTCAAATAAATATATTTCAAATAAATAAATTATAGGCCCCTTCCAACTCTATTATTCTATTGTTCTAATTATCACAGTGCAAGGCTCCAAACCAAATGATTACCTTTTGATATTTCTTTTTGTCTGTAGTGAATTGGAGGAGGAGGAGAGCTACACTAGCCATTTGGCAAAGCCAAGCCCTATAAGGAAAGACTGAAAGAACTGGGCATGTTTAGCCTTGAGGGGAAAAAAAGATTGAGGGAAGGTATGATAGTCCTTTTCAAAATCTTTAAACATATACAGAGGAGAGACAGGATCTGTTCTCAGTCAACTCAGAGTGCAAGACATGTAATAATAGGCTCAAGTTACAGATTTTGATTGAATATCAGAAAAACTTCCTAACAGAGGATTACATCAATAGAACCTATTTGGGAGGTGTTGAGCACTCTGACATTGGAGGCATTTAAGGGAAAATTAGACAGTTTTTAGTTTTAAATATCTTTTAATGATGATAACCACTTTTTTAAGGAGAAAGGTAAGGTTTCAAATAAATATTTCAAATAAATATATTTCAAATAAATAAATTATAGGCCCCTTCCAACTCTATTATTCTATTGTTCTAATTATCACAGTGCAAGGCTCCAAACCAAATGATTACCTTTTGATATTTCTTTTTGTCTGTAGTGAATTGGAGGAGGAGGAGAGCTACACTAGCCATTTGGCACACAAGAGGCTACCAGAATTCAGATCAAGTTTTAAATCATGTCTGTCTATAGTTATTTTTAGTCCTGCGGGTTGTGCCTCTGCCTTCTCACTAGTATAGTCTTATCTGCCAAGCTGGTCTTAGGAATACAAATATAGGCACCAAATCCCACTCACCAGAACATAAGTTACTTTCTAAAAGTAATTTAATTGCCATAATAGTACCAAGTTGACTGTACAAATTACTAGAATGCTATAGTTATGAGAAGGAATTAGATTATCCCTCACTAAAATGTGATTGTAATGTGGTTATAACTTGGTAATTAGAAAAGGAGTTAATTTATTGCAGTTAGTTATTTCCACATGAGCATGTGTGCATGCTTCCTCTTTCACACCACTTTCTGGCACAGAGAAAGAGATGGAAAACATTTCTCCAGTCCCATATATGTTTAGTTTTTCACCAGAATGCTGAACACTCAAACATTACATGCCCCTTTCTGTATTCTGAAGTAATGTACTCCCAGCAGTCGCCCCCCCGCCCGAAAAATAACAAATCAAGTCATCAATACAAATAAATAACATTAGAGTGAAAAATACAAAGGTTAAGTATTGTAATGTTAGTGTTCAGGTTTGCCAATGGCTCTCTTACTGATTTCAAAAAATAATTTTGTGTAAAGCCATTTTACGCTAATGCTTTGCAAAAAGAGTGTTAATAAGCTGCTTTGTCATGCTTATTAGTATGTCAGCATAGGAATCCTGTGCAACATAGGAAAAAACAGATACTGGAACTAGCTTCTTACAACGTAGTCCTATACATGGCTATTCAGAGGTAATTCCTACTGAGTTCAGTATGGCTTACTCTCAGGTACTGTATAGGATTAGAAAGATGCTAATTGTATTTGTTGTGCATTGGGGAGTTAGTTGCCTTTTAAAAAGAAGAGTATTTTAAAACTTCAATTTATAATTGTGAAGTTAGTTTTCTGATGAGATTTTTAATTGAAAACTATTCCTAGGTTTGTTAGGGATGGATTTCATTCAGTAGGAAAATCTGTTCCGTTGTGTCTGAGGTAAGATGAAAGAGAAAGGTGATGTTCCCAATGCATTTTAGTCCAGCTTATATGTATAAATAAGTGGTGATTGAACCACATAGTGCAGCAAATTTGAGGGAAAGGGAAAGTGTGAATACATTTTTAAATAAAATATTTTGTGGTTTCTTGTTTTTTTTACTCTCCCACCCCTTTAAATTATAGGATCTAGATAAAACTCAAGAGGAGATAAAGAAGCATCATGCTAACATAAGTGAGCTGAAGAAAAACTTCATGGAATCTGTCCCTGAGCCACGGCCCAGTGAATGGGATAAGCGTCTCTCTACTCATTCTCCCTTCAGGACTCTTAACATTAATGGACAGATCCCTACAGGAGTTGAAGGAGTGAGTACTCACATACCATGGAACTGATGATTATTTGGCTTTGCCCTTCTGAATGAAACTAAATTTTAGTTCCTCCAGGAAATGTTTTTAAATTTAAAAACAGAAAAACCCAAAGATAAAGCAAGAACATTTATGGCTTTGTTATGTATTCATTCTCTGTATATTCAGTATTCATATCCTAGCTTACAGTTTTCAAACTGAAGCAATTTTTCTCGTATCTGTGACACTGCTACAGAAGTATAGTGATTTAAAAGTCATAGTAGAACACTTAATTAAGTCCTCTGTTTAAATGATTTCTAGCAAACAAGACTCCCCCTGTAGATGATAATTCCATTATAATCCATAGGTGTATGTGTCAGTCATCAGTTACTGTCATTAGAGGTCAACTATCTCAACTCCCCAAGTAATTGACAATGCGTTCTATTACTGATAAAAATAGCTTGAGTGTATTTCCGATGTAAGTACCAAACATAATTTTAATCTTTGCTAATTGTAATTACGTTAGATTGGATCCAGCGTGCAGTGCTACTAAACAAGCATGTAGAACTGTGCTAGCAGCTGTTTTCCGATTGTTTATGGTTCTTGGGATCCAACCCAATATTTTCAGTGTGTCATTTAATATCATGCTTATATGGTATTTTTATTTGCAAGAAATGATGCATCTAATTCTAATTCAATATTCAGGAATCATTCAGTATGTAGAAATACTACTGTGTGATGATTAGTTAATGAGAAGAGGTAGTGGTGGAATTTGATTTTAAGTTCAGTTTTACTCAAAGAACAGAATAATGAATCTTTGTTAATGACAATGAAACTGCGTCCAAAACTCTTTGTTCTTGGTTCCTGCAGTTCTGATCAGAGCCACATTTCTGCTGAATGTTATTGAGTGGAATCGTAAAGTACTGCTTGCTTCCAAGACTTGCTGATGAACAAGGGGAATTATTTGTATGTCCCCTCATGTAACAGTGGTTATTGTGGATTTGAGGGAAGTGTTCGTTTTTAATTTTTAAATACATCATTGACAGTAGTAATAATTTGAGGTCAGAGTTTATTCATTTTTCAGGTGTTTTCTCTCCCCCTGGCCCTCATGATCTGTGCAAGTGCTTCATTAGACTGACAGAGTTCTCAGTAAAACTTAATTAACAACTGTAACAAAAAGCATCGCTGGGCATCTGTATTGTGCTTGTTACACTGCTGCCTTACAAAGAAGGAGAAATGCCCTATAATTGACCGCCTTTGGAGGCTGTGCATTTTATTTAACTATTCCAGTAATATTTGTGTGATGTAAATTGGGGTATTGTTGTTGTTGCTGCTGTTGTTGTATCACAAGACAACTGAACTTTCCATACTTTGTGCACGTCCAGGTCAAGAAAGCCACATTTCAGTCCTGTGAGAGACAGGTTGGTAGGCCAGAGGTAAAGCTGCTATTTTGGCATATGCTTCTGAAGCAGACTTCTGCTGTTGTAATGGCACTGAGCAAAACAACAGCCCTCAACAGCAGTTGCTGAGTGGCATTTCATTTTTATTATTATTATTTTTGGCTGCCTTTTAAAGCAATTTCATCTCTCACAGCCCCCTAATCTTAACACAACAAAAGAATTTGCACGGCTGCAAGCTTTTGCAGCTTTCTGGTAGCTTTTTTTTAAGCGCATGGCCAGTTGATAAAGTTGCATGAAGATGTTGCCATATATTTGGAGAGAAAGAGCAAAGATGAAAGTTTAACTGTACCCTGTTCTTTTTATGTTGTCTTCCTCTCTTTTTCCTGTTATTTTTTCCTTTTTGTTTTAACCCTCATGTTACTCTCATGTTATTCTATCATTCCTTTTTTGCTGACCAGCCCCCCAGCTACTTTCTCCCAGATACCCGTCACTTAGGGGTGTGCAAAGACCCTATCCCAAAATACCAGGAGGGTCAAAAGAGACTGGCTCAATTGAGAGAGCTTAGAGCCAAATTTTTCCTATCCTAGATAGCGCATTATCATACATAGAAACAGTAAAATGATAAATATATATATATTTTTAACTGATTAAAGCAAAAATTTCTCACAGATTTTCCAATCTCCGCTCACTTTTCACATAAAACTACAATCGTGTTTTACATTCTGTACACATGGGTAAAGAAAACCCGGTTAAACAAAACTACATTCTTTGTAATAATGCTAATAAAAATGATTTTCTTGATTTTCAAGATATTAAACATTTTGCATCTTTGCAACATGATTTTCAAGTGGAAATTTTGATAATGTCTTCCACGGCATTCATTCTACAAAACTCAAATAATTGTATTTTCACTGAAATTTCAGTATTAAGTCTAACAGATAATACCATTTTGAGCAATATAGCATAGAATCTTATGAGTTATTTTTATATAAGAATATTTCCCTTTCTATGCAGGATTTCCATTTACATGTACTACAACAATTTTATTTTTTTTGCTGTAGTTTTAATTCTTACAAATATATATATCTCGACACAGAGGCAGAGTTAATGTGGGATTATACATAGAGAACTATGGGTAACTAAGAATTTTTACTAAGTTAGAAGGTACAGTACGTTGTTTTGCATACAACCGAGTCCCCATGTACAGGATTATTAGAAGATTGTGTTGTATGCACCAGCAGCACATGTCTTGATTGTCCTTCACTCTGCGGCAATGTCCGCAACTTTTGTCCTTGCACATCCCCAAGTATCATTTTTTAGCACTTTCCATCTGTCATTTTGTTCATCTCTCTGTCTTTCTTGATCTTCTACCACGAAAGCAGACACAGGAACGTCCTCTATTAGTGCAGTATGAAGAAAATATTAAAAAGCAAGAGAAACCTACTGAGGGAACTTTGCTCCAGCAAGTCAATGAAGAAATCCAGGCAAACATTTCTATCCCAGTTCCTGAGGAGCAGAAATCGCTCAAAATGTGCCATCTGTACTCTAGAGTTTTTCCTTCTTCACGCATTCCTTTTATGATGTCTTTTTTGGTGATCCTTGCACTGACTGTGTGGTGGCTCGTTTTCCTGTGATTTTGGAAATGGAAGGGCTTATTTGAAACAACATCAAGCTTGTCAACTCTTGGCTGAAGCTCTGTAGTTTAATTCTTTCAGGGAGTCGTGTTTGAAACATTTGAAACTCCTTTGTAACACATAAACAGAGACCCACACTCCCTCTTACTATTGTTCGGCACTTAGTTTGAAAGTGGTACAATGGATCATCAGGCAAGCTGAACTATGGCATATGTTGAGATTTTGCAGTCTTCAAATAACACAAAACTTTGTCAAGAATATACATGTCTGGTAAATTTCTAAATTATGTTTTCATGCACTCAGTATGTATTTTTATTTCATAGTTAACTTCTGAATTAATCAGCTTGTTGAAACAAAAATCACGATGATTTTCTTAAAGTCTCCTCTCCCTGTCTTGCGGTACACTTTGGAAATGAAAGGGGAAGCGGATTTAATTGCAAAATCTGTTTCAGTTTTACTAGTGTTCAGTGCAAAGTTCATTTATTATAGAATTTATTCCAAGGGAGCAAAATAAGCATATTACTGCCATCTATAATTAAACACAGCTCTGCAAGAAGAATATAGTGGTATTTGGTCCATGTGGTACAGTATAGAGAACTGTGTTACAATAATTTCTTTAATGTAATCTGAAGTGTATTTTGTATCTCACTACTGAATACTTTTCATACATCAAGTGTGAAGACTTTCATTAAGGAATTTTGTCCTACTTAACGTCATAGGGCAAGTTCAGATGCTGGAAGCAGCATTCACAATACATAAAGCTAATGCATATCATAGTCAATATAGATGGTTAGAGTGTTTTTTTTCTTTCTCCAGCTGTCTTATATACAAAACAATACACTTATATGCATCTGTTATCTTTCTTATCTGTGTTCCACAAAATGAAAATATTATAGTTTCTGATATCTCCCTGATGTGGGATTAGGATAGCAGAACACCAGTAACTTTACTAGAAGCAATTCTTTTTAACTGCAAGCCTAGATTAGTCTCTTCTGAAAACTTCAGCTCTTGCTATGCCTTATCTCTTTTGTCTATCATATTTACTGAATTGTTTCTCTTTTACTGTTAACAGCTATCTGTATGAAAGTAATATATTCGTAAGTGTGCTGTCTTCTTTGTATGTTTATTTTCATAGCATTTGCTGTTAAGTTGATCTAAACATGTAATAGGGCATTTGCTTAGACTGTAACTCTTAACAGTTAACTGTTTGTTTAAAACTGTGCATGTTGCTTAACTTTTGCTGTATCCAGTTGTTTATAAATGTATAGGTATTTATTTCATATCTATTCCATTTATAGTATTTTAAAACATGAAATTCAAAGTTTGGCTGTTCAGGGATGTGTTGTGCTAATACAGAGGGAAGGATCTTAAACCCATAGAAAATGTTGAACATTTCTTGAACACACATGTGCTCAACTAAGCGCAGCAGTTAGAACTGAGAGATTTAAAGGACAGTGTAATCATAACTGGCTTCATATACTGTGCAAGCAATTTATTAACAGAATGACAGTGTTGAAGAGAAATAAGCTAGAGATATTCCACTAGAAAACAGTGTGTGTATTCTTTGATATGAATTTGTAGACAGAATACACATTTGGGAAACCACATTTGTATACAGCTAATTGTGAAGATGTACAGGAAAATGAGAAAATGTACAGAGGAAATGGGGAGGAAAGGAAAAATGGCACCAAAAGATACATGCATATCTTTCTATCTGTGCCAAAAGTGAGTAATAAATTAATTTTACTGTAGTGGTTTGTGCAGATGAAAGCATACAGATAATCATCTGTTTTCTGAAACGTGGTTGAGAAAAAAAATCAATCAGTGACAGATGGCTTATCCATAAAAATGTCTATGAATTTTGCTTGAATTGTGTAGGGTATCTCATCACATACAGTATATAGGCTGCTTTGGTAGCTTTTTGATCCTTTTAATTTACTGTTACAGGCATATCAACACATACATTGCCTTGCAAGCATTTCCTTTT